AGGTGCTGCCGATGACGGCCAATAAGCCAGAAATACGCGTATTCAGCACTCCTTAACGTTTGTCGGTAATAAAAATTGAAGACATTTAATCTGTTTAAACTTTCTTGCTGACCTATGTCTGAGGGCTATCTTACGTGGAGTTTTTAATGAAAGCCCCCCTCTCCAAGAGGATGCAATCAGCGCATGTATATCAATCGGACTAAATCGGATTCTGGGCAGCAGGGAGGGACTAATTTTGATGTGGAATGTTTCCTATCTACCTGACCAACACGCGCGCATGCAAACATTCGACCTCGGCGCGCCTACGCTGGCATTTGAACTGCGACCTCCTCCCGATCGATACTGTGCTGAGTCATTCAACGCCCAACGAGAGCCGCAAATGACACGTCTCTCTGGATTATCTGGAGTCATCCTGCGTGGTCAAGAGCTAGGAGGTTTCCTGATGAAACTCTTCACTAGTATTCTGATTGCAATGTTTATTCTTTCGTCAAAGTGCCTCATGCACGGTAAGTATCAAACGCATTTCTTCCTTTGTGCAACTGGTATACCTAATTTTGTCTAATTATGTACTGTAACTTAATCTAGTGGTTTTTACACATTTTCTTTGATAGAAGTAGCATATGCGTCCCTAGGTAGAAGCTAATAAATTTTGACGAAGAGTATTCCTTTTACTTTATTGTAGGTATCGTTTTTATCCTGATTAAAATTTCTGCCCTGCTCTGCCAATGGAAATATCTACGCTCCCACTGTGATTGGTTCAACCAAAATATCCCTCAGTCCACAGAACTGACTCCCCGTTCATTTATATTCATTCGGCTTATTCAATCGTTCACTGGTTCCCCGATGAAATTCTTCTCTTCGTTTTTGATTACAATTTTTATACGTCTACCCCTATGCCTAATACAGGGGAAGTACCTAACACGTTTCTTCCTTTATGCCACTGGTGCAACCTTTTACCTTGTTGTGTACTGTGATGAAGCCTAGCATTTATTACAGATTTTCTCTGCTGGATGTAAAATTCTTAGGCTTAGGTGTAAGCTGA